GCGGCATCCAACAGGAACAACGTTCCAGGAACTAGCTCATTTAGGGAGGAATGGAAGAGTACCACCGTTCCATTCAGGATCTGTGGGGCTGTAACGATAACACATAAGGTTTACGAAGCAATAAACAGTTTCAGTTGGGCATACGTAACGAGCCTACGTACGCAGCACTGCAATGAGAGATACCTGCGCATGTTCAGTACGTAACGTATACACTCCAAAGATGCACGCGTAAGCCCGAAACAAGTAGCTGCCTACGTAACCCAATGCTTACTACGTTACGCTCTCGCGAGACCTCGAAGAAACCATAACGAGAGTATATGTTGGCAGCAACAGCGTTAGACGCAGACAGCAACAGCAGACCTGATAAAAGGCGTGTGTACTTCACAATGAAAGGCGATGTTTTCATGCCAGACATAGTAAATTAAAGGGGCGCGTTCCAGCATCCTGATTATTGAGAAAAAATTGCCTGGCGTCTCAACAATATCCTCAAGAACTGCCTTCAATATGTTGTGTGGAGTAACGCGTCTCCTTTTGCCAGGCCTCTCGGCGAATTAAGCCGTATATAAAACGGCAGCTTGGTACGTACGATTATTCATGGCGCAACATATAACGCTTTGGTTGTTTTGCGAGCCTTCACTCCTTAAATTTGCTGGTAGTACATCGTAAGTTCATGAATAACTGGAGCACTGCGACTTGCTTTGGGGCAAGCTAAGCCTCATTCACAGCAGCGCTGGATAGAACGCTGATGTTGAACCAGTGCGGCCGTGCCCGATCAGACCCCGTTCCAACATTGCGCACCCATGTTCAAAACAGAAAGCCTGAACGTGCGTAATCAGTGCACCCAGGAACTATGCTAAAAATCTACACAGTGATACCATGGCTTAACATTTACGCCGGTGGCCCTTACCTATCAGTCAGGATGTTTTTCGTGAAGATCACAGAGGCTACGTTATTACTGGGATCACGGTACTTGGACCGAGAGTACGTTTAACGTCGGTGGCTCTGATAAGCATTCCGAACCCATCCATCTTGGTTACTATTTTTATAAATGAGTGAAACGAATCAGGGTACGTTAAACTTAAAGTGTTGTCGCATACTTCGCTTGCAGCGTACACAACGTAATTTTTACAGCGTGCGTACCTTCTCTATAGGTCCAACTAAGTGTGTGTAATGGCAGAGAAGTAACGGTGTTGCTCTTGCAAACTTTCTATGGCAATGAATAGGTGTATGCAAGTGACAAGAAAACTGTACCACTCGCCTGTCACGTGACTATGGCGCATCTTGGGTTTAAATTCAAGGCACCCGCCAAGGGCGCGACGAAGCTCACACTGCTGAGGGCTTCCGCACGCGTCAGGAACAGCTTTTTTTTCTTCATTTTACAAAAGATTCCTTACGCTCGAGGATCGCCACGTGTCGTTCACATAGAGAGTTTCCATGGTCTTGAACCAGCACGGCTCTTTGTCGCATTGGTTCTGTTTAGCGCCGCTTTCAAAACATGCGCACCGATTTGGTCGGGTCGGGTTGGAATATTTCTTATAAGTGAGAGAACTAGTATACATTGAGGATGAAAAAGACATAGATCAAAAGAGACCACAACAATTTTAGGCGCAAAACTTTTCTTAACGAGGTGACAATTTTAACAGCGTACATGTGATCTGATGGTGAGAGTCGTAAGCACTCAGCTATCTATTTTTATTTTTATGGTATTTAATCAATGTAGGTATAGTTCTTGGAAGTATTTTGCTACAGACAGAGAACTAGCGTTTTTATACTTTTCGTATTGTAGAATACTGGTAAACACATTGCTCTGAAAAATTCAAATCGAACTCTAGAGTGAATGCATCAAATAATGGGCTTTTTCAATTATACACTACAATGGCGGTAAAGATAACCACCCTGCCAATGCAACGTACCATTGTGGTTCACTTTCCATTTTCTCGTTTACATCTGTGAACTGAGTAACCATCCAAATAAGGTGTCTTGCCAAGGCAACTAATGAATCTTCGTTTCTCAGGAACATGCACGAAAGCTATCAGAGCATATTCGCAATGTACATAGGTTGTCGCTCTGTGTAGCGGACTTTGGGTGCGTACTCACCATGGTGATCAGTAGGAAGACGCTCCCTTTTTTTTCTGTTGTAGCCTCAGTGTTAACGCCTTAGCAAGAAATAAACTCAAACTACTTTGTATGTATTGTGAGTCAGTGACTATACTGGACCGTTTCTGACGCCGAAAGTCAGATTCTTTCTTTGGAGACGCGAAATTTGTGTTAAAACACGTGGTAATTTGTTCATTCGCTTGTAGCCCACAGAGTAGACATATCAGTTTCTCAAGATTTTCTGCAGCCACATTGGATAATTAAACGTTATCGTCTGGCCTTTGCTGTTGAGGCTAACGTTGTTCCACGTGCGTATAGCATTCGTCAGGGCTTTTCTAGTGGATGAATCTCATAACATTCATTGTGACTGGAAAGTAGCGCAGGCTCGTGATTCGCTCTTCAAAACCTTGGCCAACACTTCGCGGCTTGATTTTTACATTCGTTTATAAATTCAAAATATATAAACATTCGTTTAGCACACTAGAAGCGATTCACTTTGGCGGGTGTCTGAGTGAATTGTTCTTCACACCCAGATAAACGTGGTGAGTGACGCTGTGTTTGTGTTGTGCGTGGTGAGTGATGCGTTGTTGCTGTTATACAAGTCATTCCGCGGAGAACATTCTTCATATTACGTTCAGCAATGGTGTTCGAATAAACCATCTTTACGTCGAGGATTTTTCAGTGGACGTAGAACGCACCAAGAGTGACAGCGATGATGAACAATCAGCTGCTAACTCAGAAGCAGTGAGCTGCTCTTCACATCCCCTCGTGCGTAAATGTTCTTTACTCTCGTATGTCACTTTGATTTTCTTTATTGTAAATTATCCTTCAGCGAAGTTAAAATAAAAGCAAAGTTTTTCTTGTGTTTTGCCTGTAGCCGAATCACAGTAGATAATACAGAGTGCCGCATTCCGCCAACACTCTCGAGCTTCATGAGCAATGTGAAGTGGTTTGGGCAATGAAACTTGCAATTACGACTGCAATCCACACCTCTCTACTAACTTGTTTTGCACTTCACCTGTACCATTTAAGCGACGTTGATTTTCGGAGAATTTTCATAACTTCAACGTTGCGAAAAGCGTACGCGCGTGTTCGTTTTAATATCGTTGTTACAATCGTGCTGGCAGGAGCGCGACTAAATGGAAAGTTCAACGCTTGTTTTCCGTTGAAGTATCAACTGCATGATGCTCACAGCGCAAGCAATGGCGATGGCGCAATATGTATGCAAACCATTGCTACGTTAAACATTTGGTCTCGTGCAACCGCTACGGCGCACTACTCGCTAGTGGCCCACTACGGCGGCAAATCCTTCAGACAGGCTCGGCACAAATTATCTAGGAGTGCCGTTCAATTCATACTTCAATTCAAGTTCGCGACGTTTTCTGTAGCACGCCCAGGATTACGCAAGGCGTCGTTGATCAACGGTCGATCAGCTGGCACCACCACCCTTCGCACTGCGGCAAGAAATGAGATAACGAACAATTAGCAGTTCCTATTGTTTGGGAGTGTACTTTGGTTCGATATACATTCATTCGGCGATCAAAAGTTCATCTGGTTAAAGCGGCATGGGGCACATGTTTGTGCGTCGTATCTTTTTTTATATGACTTCTCGGGTTGATCATCTTTCTGCAGTCATCTTGGATTGCATGGTGCACCACCTATAATCCGTGGGCATTGCGAATATCATACCGCAATGCCCATGGCACTGCCCACGGAACCGCCTCACGTAGTGCAGTATATAGCAAAGGGGTGAGAAAAGAAAGTGAGGCGGGAGGAGGGAAAAGAAGAGTGCAGAACTATAGCATAGAGACAGAAAGGTAAAAAATGCGACAAATATATAAAGACAAGCTAAAAAGAAAAATGTTTGCGTTATAAAGCGACTATAGCGAGAAATAGAAGGAAAGATGTGAAATATAGACAGCCAAATTAGATAGAAAGGAAAAAGGTAATAAAGAAACAAATATGAGAAAGAAGTATAAGAATATATGTTCGGTGGCGGCGTAGAAGAAACTTCACTGATTTGCAAATTTGTATTCTAGCTGGATATCATTTTTCGCTCATGCGCAATTATTGAATGAGTATTTTCCTGAAACACCAAAGTGTTGTTCTTTGCAGGGCTTGTTAAAGTGAAAGAAATTTAATTATACTAGTGCATGCATGGAAAAGTTTATTTGACTATCCGAAGTGCACCTTCCTGATAGCTCATTTGAAGCCTGACGTAAAAAGTGCCCCTATGTTAGACTTGTAATCAACGAGCATGAAAGTTGAAGTTAAGCATGTCTGCAATAGCGCTGACGGTCCCTGAAAATTTTGAGTTAGAGCGTATATTCATATTTGTTTTATGTTTATATGGCCGGCTGTGGGCGATGTCCAGTTTGCATTTATATGAATCTTGATATTTATTTCCTTACTTCTTTTTTCCTTTCTGTATTTCTTTTTTTCTTATTTACATTCTGATACCTTCCCCTATACATTCATTGGCATTATTATTTGTTAGAACTCATAATATGTTGTCAAAACACGGTAAACCGAGCCCTTAGGTATACACTTCTTTCGCTTACAATATATATATATATATATATATATAAATATATAAATATATATATATATATATATATATATATATATATATATATATATATATATATATATATATATATATATATTTTCCTCGTATTGTCGTTTGCCGCTACTTTATATCTACTACCAAGCAGTCAAATTGAGTGCCCCTATCATTGAATTTTCTGTGGCTGATATTTGAGAAAATATGGCATTTTGCGGTGCCACTGAATCCGCTGTGTTCTCCTGTCTGCTGTCTGACCTCTTTCACTTTTTCATGACACTTGCCGAATGGGTTCACGCCACTTCATTTTTCAGTAAACCAACGTGATTATTTTTTTCAGGCTGGACTGACATCGTAAAGAAGCACGGAATTTTTCAGTCGGATAGCGCTGGTCATCCTGAGGTTCTTAAAACATTACAATGGTAGGTGCCAAGATCAATTGCCGCATTTCACCCTAAACAATTATTGTCACTGTTTGATGGGAATGGTAAAGCTAATTTCGAGGAACCGCTTGAAGCCAGTCTAGGAGTTCTTGCTAGGACTGCCAACCATGCATGGCTGCGTAAATGAGAAACAATTTACGTATTTCTTTAAGAAAAAAACTGTTATCTCGTGATTGAAGGAATAATTTCAAGTGGCCATTCTTTTTTATGCAAATCAAATTTTAAGGCATTCTGATTGCCGAGTACCTGTTCCTGCGCATGGATGTCGCCAAACTTCAGGGACATGGCGCTGTCCTAATGTCTTGGCAGTCTACGTACACTATACTGTGCATATCCTGCTGGTTAAAGCCAATTTCTACTAATCTTTTGCTTGCTTTAAAAATCATGACTTTATTGAGATTAGGGCAGCGGCACTAACAAAATCTGCCAAGCTTACAGACTTCAGATAAATATTACTATGTATATATTAGAACTATATTGGTGACATTGAAAGTCTAAGCGGAATTCTTCATCCTTATTTCCCTTCCTCCCCCATAGCCTCCGTTCAACGATAGTTTCATGAATCGTTTAGAATTTCAGAATTTCAGAATTTCAATCTTTCAGAATTTTTCACCTCCACGCCTACCTTAATTTAAGCACGGCTGGTTGCAAGCAAACACAAAAAAATATTTGAAGACATTATAGCAGTAAAATTTCCAACAATATGAATGGTCTCCAGCATAAAGTTCACTGAAGCACGAAGCTTAAACCGTAAATGAGTCTGGCATGAATGTCGTCGGCTGACGTAAATCATAAGATTTTAGGTAAGGAAAAACAACGAGACAATAATTAATACAAAGCATTGTGTCTGATTTTGCAAAAAAGAGGGTTTCCTTAGAAGAGTTCGTTTGCTTTCCTTCGTGAGGGCTGCATAAAATAGCTTTTGTGCTTAATTTTTTACAGAATTTTGCCATAGTTTTGTAAACCAGTGTGCTGAAAAAAAAACAGAGTTTTTTTATAAAAGGCGTGACTGCAGTGTTACATTACAGGGACTGCTCTTCATGACATTTATTAAGCTGCATAGGACTGTATAAGGTAGCCAATTGACAGATGGGCATCTGACAAAGTGGTAATAAGACGCATGTTTATTCTCAAGCGTTGCTTTTTGTAATAAATTGTATCAAAAAAGCATTTTTTTATCATAACAGTATAGTTGAAGTAGTGTGACTCTGGTTAAAAAGCTACCATGCATTAAAATTGATTTGTTTCTCCTGTTGTCCGGTTTTCTTACCGCTATTTTCGAGTAAAAATTAGGGCTCAAGTGCCATGTAATGTACAACATTCTACTGCTGAGTATACGACTTTATTTGTTGTGAATAAATGCAATTCAAATTTGCCGAAGAAAAACTTTCTTTCCAAACCTTGTTATAATTTTCTTTCTTCTGGTATATTTTTTACAGTTTTCTAGCTTAGTTTGTTGCATGATTCTACTTCATACTTTTTACATTTACTTGTTACCGATTTATAAATGACTGTGTTTCAGTTTGTTGCATTAGTTTGTTGCACAATGAGTTTTGTGTATATTGACAGAGAAAACAATTGTGGTGGTTTCTGATTGCCCGCTGGGAAAAAGTCAGATTCAGGTGTACCAATATAACCGCCTGCCATAGGCTGGACATGCAACGAGTAGCTCTATAAATAATGAATAAAATCGCACAATAAGCATGTCGGGCATTAGAAAGAGGCTTTATGTATATAATATTTTGTCGTCTATATTATTTCACGAGTTGATTTTTTAAAGGCTTTCTGGCTAATTTATTTGTTTCCACTCTACCTTATAACAAGGGTGCTATTAAAACTGTACTGACCTTGTGCCACTTTTTAAATTTTGTTGACCTGCAGGTCCAGGTTCCGGCTACCAATTGTCCTGCCTGTGGGCTCGGCAGAACTTTGCTTCACCGTCAGCTCACTCCAATCCCAGAATCAATCAGCGGCTGATCATTCAACCTTAACGACAATCGGTATCGCGGGTGCCTCGTGCAATGATACACGGAAGGGAGAGTGTGCGTATAGGCATCGCTCTTTTATACGTGGTATGCGGGCGTGAGCACTTTTTTACTTTTAATGTATGTTTCTTGTAGGATTTCAAAAAGAGGGTTGACGTGTGTGTAACATATGAACAGAAAGAATTGCTCATAAACGGCGATCCGCGGTATCCGCTCTCTGTGGTAAGCCTTTAATGTTTGAACGTCTATGGCTCGGCATGCACAGATGAAATGTTTGTGCTATATATATTTCATGAAGAAGACAATGTGCAAAACTGCAATACTTCACTCCATTTTAAATAAATATAGCGGAACTCCAATAGGAGGTATGCATATGTTGAAGGAGTGTCAGTACGTTGACGATAAAGTTACAAACACGAGATACTTGTGTCGCTTAATTTTTTACATATAACAGAACTTCTTTTGTGCAAATTGGGGTCCGGAGGTGAGCAGCTTTATTGTAGTAACAACAAAAATGAAATACGCAAGCAGGGTCGCTCAAGCTTAGTGAGGACATACAGAGAAAATTCCCGTTAAATAGGCCTTGCAGCATCTTCTTTTTTAGAGGAGAATTATTACATGATTAGTGCCTCTCGAATGGAATGTGCTGACAGGGCTCACATCGTTGTCTTCAGCTTCGTAATTGTTCCTTTAGGGGTATCTGCGAGGATCCCTATTGAGGAATAAGTCTAACTACTGGCTGCCTTTACTCTAGCTGCAGTTCTGCAAAATTGAGGTGCTCTCTTGTTGGGTGAAGTTTCTGGCAAGCTTCAGCTTTATCGCCAAGCGGGACTTCTCGTTTAATATGAACAATAATGCAGGAGCCGAGGATCACTGGTTTGTACTTTGCACAGTGACCTGCTGGTCGGGTCGCATAGGTAGTATGTTACAGCTACCGCGATTGTACTGGGTCCCCTGTCGTCCGCGTCTTTCTTGATAACGCCTTTCGACTACGCCTGGTCGAATGACCCTGTCTTCTAAATTGGCGATATTTACCAGCAGCTAAGTTTTAGTTTGGATTCCCATGAACCTTTTCCCAAGGTAGGGGAACACATCATCACTTGGAGTATTGTGCCGCTAAAGCAAAACCATTAGAAACATTTGAATGGTAAAGAAGGACTTTTTGAAATTCTTTTGCCTCCTGTGTCTGTTGAACCGCGGGTGACAGGGGTCTGAGGTTACATGATCACCGCGAAAGGCGTTCAGAAATTTTTTGAAGTAGTGACTGCCAAAAAGTTGGTCATTATTGCTACCTAATTGAATGAACAAGACATGTATGCAATATACATTGGAGTGCCAAGTTTTAAGTGAAAGTGCTCTTGTCCGAAACTCGCGCCATCCAAAGATCGAGACGAAGACGACAGCAACAAGGAATACGCAGCCTTAAAAAAACTAATTGACGTTGACCACTTGTCACGGTAGTGAGGGGTACCTTTTTGTTCAGAAGTGTCATCGTAGGTTATCAAGATCTTGCTTTTGGCCCACTTTGCAAATTTTAGAGCACTGTTTGATGTTCTTCAAAATGTGGTGGCTCGAGCGGTGCGGAAAGTAAAAAAGTTTATAATAATGTGTTCATTTATATTGGCAATGATTCAGATGCCTTTGCTTGATGGCTACGATTCCCCGCGTGATTATGCGTTCAAGCCTCTCGTACAGCGGTTGACGGTATGCCAGACTATCACTCCGAATACCGGTACCTACCAGCCATATAGAACATATTACAAACCCTGCGCTGTACTCGATTATCGAGTAGAAATAAGGCGTTGACAAATTTATTGCGGAAACAAAAGGGATTATCTATACAACTACTGCTGCAGTGCCACGTGCAGAAACAGTGAAATGCGACTCACTTAACCTCGCTACACTTCTCAAAAATTATTTGTCCAAAATTCAGCTTGATTTAAAATTTTGATGTGGAGAAATATACATCACCAGTGATCTGAAATTGCAGCACCTCGTGACGTTTACACCAGCACGTTTTAGGTAAGGGCACAATGCGACGTACCAGGAGTAAATCAATCATCGGCGCCATCGCATACAGAATTTCAGGACGCGTACAGAAACCACTGGAGCTCGAGTACTCACTCTGTTCTCGGTATTTTTTCGGCCTCATGGTTATGAGCTGGCGTTTTCAAGTGGCGCCAAATTTGATAATTGCTAACGATGCTACCACTGATTGTAATATACATTAACTTTTTGCGATGCAGTTTCTGGGTCATCAGACACGTAGCTAAGAACACATTATTAAAGCCGCAACCAAATATTTGGTGGACATCTGTCTAACAAACAGTAGCGATGTGGCTACCTTGTCAAAGTAATAGTTTTTAGCGTTCCTAAGACCCTCCTTTCAAAGGCCTGATGGTATAGTGCTGAGCAATCTGGAAATATTTTTAGAAGCCAAGCTCCCTAAAGCGGCACCCGTTCGTCGCTCGTGGTAGTGCGTAATATTTCTTACGCTTTGACCTGCAAGGTGGTGCTGGTGGGAGATTTCTCCTGTGCCTTGTTGAACAATAAAACATTTGCAGCGTTGATTAACTAAAAGCCGAATTCTCTTGTCTCTCATTCCCCATTAGCAGCCATTGGCATGTACATTGAGCACTATCTGAAAAGAAGGGGTTGCTACGTTATACTCGCTGGGCGTAACCTCCGTGGTTTTACAAAGGTTTAGCGAGCGTTGGGCCGCAGTGCCATGAATACAGTTAATTAGTATATAGCATGAACTCACGGTGGTTAAAGGTGGGAAGTAGACATGAAGCGCAAGCCATAAGAAAGGGTGCGTGTGCCACCTTTCGTTTAGTCCTTGGAATGTCCGCTGGATGGCGGTGCTTCTATATGCGGAATATATGATGAAAAGATGCGAGATGGTGGTACTTGGAGTGTTGACTAGATGGACGAACGGACACACAGACATAAGCATGGACGGACACACGGATGGCTGCATGGACGGATTGACGCATGGATGGATGCAGGGGCGCATGCATGGACAAACGCAGGGATGGACGCACGAATGGACGTGCGGACACATGAACAGACGCACGCACAGACGGGCGGCTGGACGCATGGACGGTCACACAGACGGGCACTTGGACGGACGGAAGCAAGAACGATTGGACGGATGGATGAATACAGTGAACTAGTACATACCATGAACTCGAGGTGGTTAAAGGTGCGAAGTAGACACGAAGCGGAAGCCGTAAGAAAGTGTGTGTGTGCTACCTCTCATTTATTCCTTGGAATGTCCGCTGGATGGCGGTGCTTCTATATGCGAAACATATTATGAAAAGATGCGAGATGGTGGTACTTAGAGTGCTGACTAGATGGACGAACGGACACACAGACAGATGCATGGACGGACGCACGGAGGGCTCTACGGACTGATGGATGCATGGATGGACTCAGAGGCGGATGCATGGGTGAACGCAACGACGGAGGCACTGATGGACGTGCAGATGCACGAACAGACGCACGCATGGACGGTCACACAGAGGGACTCATGGACAGACGGAAGCAAGAACGAATGGGCAGATGGATCCTTCGCCCCATTCCCCATCATTCACGCCGTGGATATGCTACCATATCCACGGGGTCAATGATGGGGAAATTAAAAAAAAGGCAGCTGCCATTTCTTTAAATGAAAAAGAAGTGCAACACCAAAACATAAACTGAATAGAGCACTACAGATGAGGATGAAGACATGGTCACAAACCAATGCAAGGTGAAAGGCTCGACATGTTTCGGGGCTCGCAGGGGTTCCGTTATAGCACATCTTCATTCTCAACATGGCAGCTGACAGGACCAAATTTTATCGAGCTCTTGACTGTTGAGCAGTATTCTTCGCAAATTGTATAAGGTTTTAAATATACAGTAGTCACACTAGACATGTTTACAGCCTGGGGTGCTAATACCCCGAAGATCAGATGCTCAGCGGGAACGTGACTGTTCTGCAACAGCCGTACCGACTGCCACGTCAATCAGGTCGTTAATCGATCAAATTTTTTACAAGCCAAGTATGAAGCACACTTCGCACGATGCGCAGCTTACAGTACATGCATAGACCTGCTATACGTTACGAAAAGAATTTCCGTGGAGCATGTGAATTTATTTCATGGACATTATTTTGCTGCCTCCAAGACCGCACGCCTTAGCAGAGAAGCGCTAGCCAGACACACACAATAAATTCTTTGTGGGCAGCATACGAAGTAGCAGCACCTAACACCTAAGGCTCTTCCTTGAATGACGTGTCACCTACAATGTCGTCCGCAATTGTGAGCAGCACGTGGATCGTTCGACGCAGTCAATGAACTCCTTAGTGAAGAGTCTACGTATCTCCCAAGCGTTTAGGGTAAAATACCTTATTGATACTTGCAAAAGAACGTACCAAGCACGTTTCTTTAGCTTCATTGACTTATAAAAATTGCCAGAGTTCACCTTTTCTGAATTCCTCCTTGCTCTCTCCTTTATATTGACCATAGTAAACAGTTCATATTTGGTTCACATCATGTGCGCTTTGTCTTAGCTTTTGTCAATATGAACGACCTCATGATGTTCGGTAAGACTCGGTGATAATTGTCGTTATTTAGAAGGTTCTGATACAACTGGGCAGCATTTCCTTTTCTAGAGTGTGAAGAAAACTAACTTTCCCATTGTGAGGTTGCTAGCAGTTCAACACATGCGTGTTAAGCAGTGCGCCCAGCTCACAAAAGAATTTTTTTCGTGTGTCTTTGTCGCATTTTGCTTTCTTTCCCATCTTTATTTACCATTTTCCCTTCCCATAGTGCAGGGAAGCAAACCGTATGCTCCGATTACTGAATAACCTCCCTTCCTTTCCCTTATTTTATTCTCTCTCTCTCTAAGAAAGCTAGTCACTTAAAACGACCCACAACCAATATTCATGGTTCCAGTTTTCTTGAGTGTAACGAATAGCTCACCAGTCTGAGATTTGTGACCACAGAATGGTAACACGCAAAGCACCGTGCAAAATTCAAAATCAGAATTTTCGTTATTTGCGTTTCTTATGCAGTCTTAAATAACCATGCTGCGAACAGTCGATGTGATCGCGATAGAAAATATACGCCAGTGTAACGCCAGCAGTGATGAAAAGTGAGAACCTTAGTACAGACACGTAATGTTGTGTTTGTCAAGCCTACACTTCCGCGACCACTGCTTTCTAGCGTGCTTGATAAATTACAGAAGTTACAGCACTTTCTTGAGGCTTATTCTGCAATTAATTTTGGCCGTGCATAGGTTGTGTTTTTGACCCAAGCCAAGTTGAGCTAAGACAAGTCCTTGAAAACGAATCGACGCACTTACACGTGATTGACAATTCACGCAAGGTACTTCTCAGGGATGTCCGTACTACGCCAAATAATTCACATTCAGAGACGTGAAAATTTCTAATTTCGGGGATATTTCTCTACAAACGTTGACAGAATTCACAGCATATTTTCCTGCACAACATTACTAATTTCCGTTCCTATCCATGCACACACATTCTATCGATACACATGTTTCACGTACTAGCGACTTTTGAAATCATGACTAGCCCCTCTCCTGCCGCCCAACAAAAGCACGGCTTTATTAATTCACATACTGTTTGTACAATGCACATTGTGGGCATGAAGACTTACACCAATAGTGAACTAGAAATCGCTCCACGTAAAGATCAGAAACAATTCTCGAGCTTTTGTGGTGCACACGCCCAAACCAATTACAGCAGATGAATATGCGCTATGATTGATAATTATCGATTGTGATTTGAGAACTTAACCTATCCTGAAATTCTCTGCACTATCACGAAAAATCCCTTTTTTCATTCGGCTCGAAACAACGGGCGAAAATTACCCGAAAATAGAAAAATTTTCTGCATGGAACATCAATGCTTCACGTGCGGCCGTGGTTGAATGGCTTCAATATGTCATCGCTTGGCAACTTGAGTAGGTTAAAGCAACAAAATTTGGCTCACGTGCAAGCGCAATATTCGAACCCCTATCAAGTAGCGACATGTTTCGATGGACGACAGTGGTAGCAACATATCAGACGGACCACCACCATTGCCACCACCAGCAGCACGCATTGTAGCGATTCTCTATAGAGCAGTAGGTCAGTGGCAATTAGCATGCCGCAGCTATCACATTCACAAGCCGGCATGTTTCTTCCAACGCGCCTGACGTGAGAGGAATCGAACTACTCTGCAAACGTGGCGAAACCGGGCGCATGCACAACTGCACCTGTTTCCCTGCAGAGGTCACAAAAGGAGCACCGCTTTTCACTCTCTACTTTGTTTATCTTGCAAGCTACATAGAAACAAACAAAAATGAACAACACACATAATCAAAATTTAAGTCCTCATTCTGATGGGCTTTAAGTAATCACAGCAAAGTTACTAGGAATTCATATTTCTGGTTCATGGCGCTTGCGCTACAGGTGCGATATAGCGGTTTTGGTTACTTTTAAACTCGATTTGAAAATTTAGGTCCTACTCAAACCTCTAAAAGTATGCTGTTACCTGTTACTATATTTCACGCTTTTTTTCTTTTCATCAGAATCTAATCCCCCATTCTGGCAAGTTGTGGGTGCTTCTAACTCTTTGTCAGTAACAGACCTTGACAATGGCTATAGGGTGTTCTACAGCAAACATACTCTGAATTCGGCGGCGATTTCTGTACATTTCGGAGGCCCTAAGAGAGCATCCTTACACTTAAGATTGCTTAAACTCTGTTCATTGCTAAAAAATTTTTCACAGAATTGAAGCAATTGAGCCTGCAATTATTGATTTGTATTCTTTTCTGAAAACTGTTGTAGGCTGAATAAAAGCAAAACAATAATAAGTGCGATGGTTAAATAACGAATCAATCAATTGCTTTACCCGAGCCTTGTGTACTGATAATGCTTGCCCTCAGTGTTTCAATGCAGTTTTTTTTCTTTTTCGAGATCTTTATCCTTGTCCAAGAGGAGGATGGCTGGACTTCTCGAGAAAGAACACGTGTTTGTGGCTGAACTTGTCGCCATTGAATTACAAGCGAGCTGCTGAGAGCTGTCGTGCCAGTAAGGGGCGCCTTGCTGTGATCAATAACTCTTCATTGTCGTACACTCTCGCATTACTGCTCGCTCCAAACAATGGTAAGTAGACCTCGCATGTAGCCCCCATTTTGTGTGCGTACTGCAGAAATTTTTTTCAGATAACGAAGTATAACAGATATGAGCTATGAACTGACATGTTTGTTTCACCTTAAACAAGGACAATATATATTTAGCAGCAGTTTGTGAATGTTTAGGATCGCGAATACAAATTGATTATTTATATGTTCCCATTTGAAGTATATTGCAATAAAACACGTATTCGCCTGTTTCTTAACATTTTGCTATAGACGCATGTTCGTAAAAAAATAGTGGCTAAGTATTCCAATCAGAAATGATTTCGGAGGGGTGTACATTGTTAACTTGAAGGTAAAGAATCAATTGGTTTTCAGCATACTAATGTTAAAGTATAATTGCAAGAAACTCTCTACGATGTCTGTGCAAAGCCTAAAATGTCTATTGATATTTTGGTTCGTACTTCATCTTCCATGTAGCACTTTTGTGAATTGTTCCACATCACGGACATGGCTGCAAATGTATGCCATCGGCCTGGAGTTTAGCACGGCCTCAACTTTGGTTAGAGTCGTGACAAGTTCGTCCTTCGTGAGGCTATGCTTGCCGTTGGTTTCCTTCAAGGCTAGTTTCACGGATCTGAATAGACACTCACAGAATCTCCCACCACGTGTCTCGGTCACCGATAAACATTCCCTGAATCTTATTATTTAAAAATGTGTTCGCGACTTCTTTCGAATGCATGGATTTCCAGAGGTTAAGCAGTGCTTTTTGCTTCGTTTGAACGCAAGAGCATTGCCCGAATATACAACCGCAAAAAATCCTCTTCAGGGCACGAAACAGCGAAAGACGTGTAGAAAGATGGAAGCAGACATCTTCTACCAGCTCGAGGAAAATGGCTCTGACGACCGCACAGGTGAAGAGTACAACGTACGCTTTCTAAAACGATCGGGCGACCTTGATGAATAGCAGTCCGGCAAAGTCGATCCCTACAACATGCAATAGGTTGGCTCTATTTACTCTGTCGGGATGTAAAAGAGGGGTTTGTACTCGAAGTGATCTTACATGTTCGTGACAACGCACTACACTATCCTTGATTACTTTTTAACTAGTTACTGTGCTTTCAATATGCAAAACTGCTCCCGTAAGTCGACGAGTGTGTCTCATGCACCAGCGTGTAGGAGTTGGTGATGGTGCTGAGAAACTATGAGTTTCCGGTAAGTATGGTTTTTCGGAAGAGTGACTGGGTGTTGCTCAGAATAAGATTATTTACTGTAGTGAAGGCGTCCGGTCATGCGCGAAATTCTGGTGTCGTCTAGGAAAAACCAGGTATTGCAGAAAGATGCATCGTGAAGGGTTTCTTGCCTCTGCAAATTGTCCTTCTTTTTTCCGAAAACGCTTCTGCTTGGACTTGCACAACCAGTACTTATCAGCGACAGTCATTTTGTTGAAAGCGTTTTTGTGGAAAGTGCTATTTTGTGGAAAGGCACTGCTCTTACGCTTTAGCTTGCTGACAAATCACAAGACCCAGGCAGTGATCCGGTGTAACTGATTAATGGAACTGTAATTAGTGACATGAATAATTAGTGGCGCTAACTAGGATGTTGTAGTCAGTGTAGTCAGGGCTTCACGGACTTGTATGTGGCATGGTTTTTTGTCGTTTTCGGTCCATAGGTCGGAAGTTACTTCGACTTGCTGTGGCCAGTATTTGTTGCTTTCAAATAGTCACGAAATGCTGCCACAATTAGGAAGATGAAAGCTGCTCGCCATTTAATCTACAGGTGATCATATATGCAGTGTTTTCTATCCGTAGGCAGTGTGTCCTCCACTTTGTGTTTGTAGCAGCTTGAAACTCGTCCGCTCTATGGTGTACAAATGTTTTTCAATGACAACTCTCACCTCTTGTGCAGTGTAGCGCTATCATTCACTCTGTTCACAGGTGGACGCTGCTAAAAGAGTCATGAATGGATCACTTAACATGTTTCTACAGTCTTGATTCGATAAATAAAGCTAGAAGGTCCAATCAGGAGAAGGCTATCTGTTTTATTGGTGCTATACGAGCGTTGAAAAAGATGCTTCTGTAATAAGCTCTTTCTTCATTATCCAAGGTGTACTGGTATGCGACGACTGCACCGTAAGCGAGTGGGCTTGCTTTAGCAAACACGTGAAGCATGCTGGTCTCTATCTGTGGTGTGAAATTGTGCAGGTAAAAGCAAGGTAGCTGGATTCCGCAGACAATAACAAGCTCAACACACCACCTTTTTTCATTTATTTAGGAGTAGAGGCAGAAGAATAGTGTGCCCGTCGAAGTTGAGCGTGTAGCGGTGGGAGAATAAACACTTGAGATGACTTTGAAGGCGGCTGAAAGGGCTGTGCCGATCGCACCACTTTATTCCAGGCCTGAGGCGGAGCCGCAGCGACTGACAGCGTCCGATACGCCAAGCGCGTGAGCTCGTCCTGTTCTCGCCCAGCTCTCGCTAGCGTGAGCTGCGTGAGATGCGCAGCGCACTGGTCAGAACATGATGTTGATGATAGCACTACGCCCCCGCCCCCCTAGCGCTTTGCGCAATTTGAAGGTATATGAGAAAAGAATGAGAGCGACAAATACTAGATACATGAACGGCAATCTGAAGGTGTCCGTTGGGAAGTCCAGGTTGTCAACGTGAGTAGTCTATCGGGAACTAGAAAGTCTCTGGTGAGCAGCTCTGGGAGGTGTGCAGTGGCCGAGGGCCATGACGAAAGCACGCTGTTGGAAGGAGCGTACGAGACGGATAGCGTGAAAAGGGGCTGCGGGCCGAGCAATTCCGCAGTGCTATGTAATGAAATTGCCACACACACAAGCTCATGCGGTGCTGATGATTCTTGCACACACCTGGGCCAAGATGTCCAGAAAACAGAGTGGTGCGTTTGCATAGCATGTCTAGGCCAGCAGGTTTAGCGTTACGTCGCTGATAGCGGTGGGCGACACGGGTTGCATGTCGACGGCTCTGGTAACAGCATTAGTGACGGCAGATTACTGGCTGCTGCTGTTTTCTGTCGTGTGAGCAGGCGAGCCGCAAAAAGTGTGTGGTAGAAGGACGAGGCATCACCAGTCGTAATGCGATGCCGAGCAGTTGTTAATGGACTGGAAGACGCGTCAGCTGTACTCGGAGGTTTAATAAGTGCAGAAAAGCGAGTGTGTGGGGTGGCTGGCGAGTCGTCTGCCGGCGTGTCCGGTAGGGCATACGTGGTCAGCTGTGGCGAGCCTGATGGGTGGTCCTCGAGAGTTTCGGTAATGGTTGCAGCATCTCGCACATTTGACCGTGGCTGGTGAGGGGCATGAACTTCTTCTACGGTGAACATCAAAGGATATATTAGTAGCTAGTCGCAGAATGCGCAGAGCCCTGAGGTTTATAGAATGTCGCTTCGGGACATCGCCGACGTCAAAGCCTTCAGGATCACGGGGCTAATAGTGGGCGTCAAGGTGTCCATAGTCGTGGCAGACTCCAGGGCGTGTTGCGATGTAGTGGTCATGGAGTCTGATAGAAGGTAGAAGTAGTCAAAGCCGGGTGTGATGGTTAAGGGACGTTCGTCACTATGTTTGCTTATAGCTGACGAGAAAGGATTAACATGAACTTTTTATTTCATGGCATGGGTGGAACGGCTGACGGCGCACGGATACGCTACCGTGTGCAGCGCCGTTGAGTCGGACGTCGTGGCCAACCCAGCAGTCCGGGTCGCAACTCCCGGAGGTCCAGGATCAGGCCACGGCTCACGAGGACCACACCCGGTAGGCCTCGCCCACGAACCTGCTCCCGGCCACTGCACCCAGGCAGGAGCCGTTCGACAGGTCTCGGCCTTGGACCTTGTACAGGCCGACGGACTCGACCTCGAACCGACACGTACGGGTCTCACGTCCGGCTCAGGAACGCTGCCAAGAACTCGTCCTCTTGAGCAGCGCACCGCTTCCTCTGCCTTCGTGGCCTCAACCCTCGAGCTCACTTTTCCGCACGTTCCTTATTGGCCAGGGCACCGCCAGGTACCCTCGGGTGCACACTGCAGCTCATGAGCCCGTGGCCCACGTCCGAGTCTGGCGCGTCGCTCGGTACGGCTCAGCACCGCTAGGCGATCCTCAATTCAGCCAGAACTCCCCTGGCACTTGAATCATCGGCCACCCTGGACCTTGAACGGCTCCGTGGTGCGTGCACACACCCGCGTCTCGCCCGGCAGAACGTCTCGCTCGTCCCTTGCCTACGTGCGACGCTCTGGTGACACCGGCGCTTGATGGCATGGGTGCGACTACTGAGCAGTCAACCCGCATTGGAGACGCGATGCTCCATGCGGGGAATGGCCAGCCCGTCCAGCGAAGAGCGTGCGCCGAGACGCGATACTCGACGCAACCGTGACCATTAGCCAGGCCACGTTCATCGCTGTGTTGAACGGCTGACCGCGGAGACGCCTCGCCGAGATCCGCGATGCCCTCGGCAAGGAAGAGAACAGCAGGCCAGGCCGCGCCCCGAGATGCAGTACTCGTGCCGGCAATGCCGCCCCAGCTGGTAGTTGGACGACAGTAGCGTGGACGGCCGCGTTCACTGGCCGGAACCTGGATCGCCTGCTTCCGACGCTTCGGCCCGCTGTCTCCCGTCTGCCGCTGCTCCGGCTCATCCCCAGCCACACAGCCTACTGCCACGTAATGGTCATACGTGGCCCAATCGTGGCACGCCACTTCTATGGGCCACCACAGGTCATCAGCTGATTTGCTGACACCCACGTGCACATTACACGCGCCTTGCCCTGCACTTCCGTCGTTGTCGTTTTCTTCAATCATCACAATAATCTCCCGCACAAGAAAGTTGTTTCAGGCAAACAACTTTTCTCACAATACACAGTGATGAGAAAGAACAGTCCCGTGGACTCACGACTCTCGAGCAGTGGTGGCGGAGATGGCTGGACCAGCGCGGCCTCGGACCTCGTTTCCGAGCTCTCTGGTCCCTCATTCCTCAGCGCTCATCCATGCCAGCAAAGCCTCTCCACTTAGCCCCATCTGCTTC